TTCCTTTCCCAAAAAGGTTGTAGCGGAAGAAAGTTGAAATTCTCACAAAGCATTGTGGAATTTCGAGATATCTATGGTCTTGTTGATTTTATCGACAATTGATTAGAGATTTTTTTTATTATAGTATTCTTCTTCACTTTTTGGCTGAGGAAAGTTAACTTAGTTAGAAAATTGGATAGGAACAGAGTTTCTAACAACCGAACTGTTGTCTCACCTCACAACCGTTTTACACTCTTCGATTATGTTGATCATTTTGGAAATCCTTGATGATGCGTCCTTTGGATGTTTCGGCTATGTAGAGGCAGCATGGTGGATTATCGCTTATATTTCCAATGTGTAGAACTGTTTGGAAAGAACGATCTTACCTATGACCTAAAGTCAACATTTACCATCTTTGCTTGAAAATCGAATGACATTTCTAGGTGGAGAATGTGTCCAAAATCTTTATCAACTTTAGATTTCTCAAGTACATTTTCATCTGAAAAGAATCAAATTTCTTATTGCGACGGTGGAAGAATTTGGAAGATGTCTACTCTTACACTATTGTACATCATCCTGTTTGTGCAAACTTAGTTATTGTTTACCACCGCAAAATATATAATTACCCTTGATCACTTCCAGCCATTCCTATCCCATTTCAACTGGAGTTCACCAACATTGATTTGACATTATTTCTGGATTATGAAGAATTGTTTGAATGATTATAATCACTTCTTGTATTCGATCAGAGATGAAGAATCATCACTATAAGCTCCCTATATGAGTTATTTTGTACATGTAGAGAATGTGAAAATCAATAATCATGATGTTGAACCAATGCTACGTCCAGGTGGTGTTCCAATTGGTGGTAGCTTTACTCAAGTGGAAGGTAGTGTTCTTCCAGCCCCAAAGCTTAAAGTCGGTAATGGTGACAACTTCTTTCCTTAAAATGGGCGCTAGAATTTCAACAACAAGACACTTGTCAAACCAACTAAGATAAAAAAGTAAGTTGTTATTAATTTCTCTACACCCTGTGATCTAAAAGCCCTTATTCGCGATCTAATCAAATGTGGAGATATGAAAGGAATTAAAACTGAGGCTTCACTTAAGGTGTTTGAAAAGAATTCTCGGTCTAGGCGAGCCCCGCCTTTGGTTAGAATAGAAAGGATGATTGATGAACTAAAGTCCAAACTTCTTGGACAACCACAATTTATTCTCTGTTTGCTTTCAAAGGATGATGGCATTATGAGAGAGCTGCTTCTAGAATTTTGTGCTAGTTCAGGCAAACAGAAACCCGACAAGATTATCATCTTGGTGTATATATATCTCACCATGCTACGCATTTCACTGCCAAGCCTTTGGAAGTCTTTATGAAGGTTATGAGTATTAGATTCTATTTAGTATCACAGTTCTACTCCTAGACTAACGATTAGACTGATACGAGTTACTCTAACCTTGATGGATGTGTTGCATTTTATCTATCCTGTCATTAGTTTGGTTGCAATATAACACTATCTTTATTTTAGTTGCTTGTAACTACGGTTACTATTTTGGTTTAGTTGTGGTACCATTGGGGTTGACATATAGGAATGTTATGCTGGGTACATGATTGGTAGGCACTTACTTTTATTAGAGTTATGCGTAACTGCGGTTACATTCCTGGTCATGAGCATAGCATCGTTTGAGAAATGGTATAAATATTTACTCGCAATATTTGATCATCAGAAGAGAATTACGAGCATGTATTTGAATGATCAAGATTATGACATGGAAATTTTATGATATTGACAATGTTGCCTGGGAAAGTAGTGTGTGAGCACGATCGAAGCTTTGTTCAGGTGATGTACGTGTATTTCCCAATGAGGGGCAAGATGGTAATATTACACCCTCAAGAATTCCTTCCTTGCTTGTCGAGACGACATTGAGTTATTGGTATTGAGGGCTACATACTGTAATATCAATAGCTTATTGTTGGGTTCGTTAAGCAAGTGGGCAATTAGGTCCATTTACTAGAGCATAGGTGAAATCTTTCGATGTTCGGTCTTTGATTTTAGTACAATTACTTTAACTTTACGTTATTATATATATACATAATTTGATGTTATGTTTTTACATATCTATCTTTGACTTGATATTTTTGTAAAGGATTTTATATTGAAGAATTGTACTGAAGGAGAAGGAAAGTATGAGCTTGGAGGCATGAAAGAGGAATAATTGCAATTTGATCGCGAATGAATGACATTCTCTTTTATGCAACCACTCTAACTTGATATCTCATTCACGTATTTATTTTTCTACTGTATTTTCCTTACTTTTGTCTAGTAAATGATTTTAAATTTCAGGGACGAATGTTTTTTAAGGTGGGTAGATTGTTACGACCCATCCTTGATTTTACGTTTTTATAAATCTTAAAAATAGTAATTTTACAAAAATGCCCTTAGAGGCAAAGATTTTGACGTACGTTGGCCATGGTTAAGAGACATAAGACTTATTCCGTTAAGGTATTCTCAAAGTACTCGTCGTTACGAATGCATGGGCGCAAGCGGAATTGAAATTGGAGTTATAACGAAGAAGTTATAAATGAGCAAAGTTAGGGGTGAAATTATCATTGATAATAATCTGAATTTCTCCAGATAATTCTAAGGTGCCACGTGGAGGGCTTGGAGAGGAAGGAATGGGCACTGCCTAATCAGAAAACAAGGAAGGAGGGAAATGAGAATGAGAGAGAGACGGGGGAAAAGAGGAAGCGGGTTCCTTCAACCTGCGTGATCCGCGTAAACCGACCCATTTCTCCATATTTTCCGGTTGTTTTCCACCCAAATTTGGAAGGGATTTGGTTGTAAATTACCGAATAACCCATGGGGGTGTCGTGACAACCTTGCTTGGGATCCACCAATTGTGAAACTATCTCCTTCAATTACCACCAATAGAACACTCCCCTAGAACCCATGAACAAAGCCCAGGGGTTTGTGGAGGCGTCGGAGTGAGTATGGAAGTCAAATTGAAGGTCACCCTCTATATGGTGGATTTTCGTGGAATTGGGGTTTTTCTCTGCCAAATTGGCCTTAGTCACAAGTATGAAAGTTGCTCCGTTCATTGAGATCTTCATTTCTATAAATTTTGGTAATTTTTTGAAATAGTTGGATTTTCCGACAAGTCGGGACGGCCAACCGCCACCTACGGCGGCGCGTGGCCAGAGGGCCATCAATTTTTTTTTTAGGTTAAATTAGATACCTAGAATTTAGTTATGATAATTGTATGACGTAGGTTAATTGTTAGACCCTAAATTCTCAACGATACGTTAATGGGTCCTTATATGAATTGACGATTCGACTGTTGGATCGTCATAAAACTTTAATATGTTATTATTCGTAATATTTAACGAATGTAAGAACTAATGGATCAGAAATCTGATATGTGGATCTCCCGGATCGAGTTACGTAGGGTTATGGACCCTACTGTCGATCTTTGACCGATGGTTGACTTTTGGTCAATGGGTCTTTAATCATTCTAGATCGTCCTTGGGGATGTGTTTAAGTAAATTACGTGTTCCATCAGTAAGGATTATGAGATGTGATTTGATATTTGCTCTAGGCGGTGATCGTTCAAGACATCTCGATATTCATGCTAGGGAGTTGTAGCTCATATTCCAGGTAAGTAGGTATTTGGTTTTCTATATATACGTATGTATGCTTTATGTTTTTCCCAGAAATTGTTTTAAATGAAATGTGATTGAAATGCCATTGATATTGACATGAGTGATGCTCATGAATGTTTATGTATGATTGACACGAGTGATGCTCATGAATGTTTATGTATGATTGACATGAGTGATGCTCATGTATAATTTTGGAGTACTTGACGTACCTTTGATCACCTAGTTGGTGATAATAGCGGTAGGATGCCGAATAATTTTGGAGTACTGGACGTACTTTTGATCACCTGGTTGGTGATAATAGCGGCAGGCTGTCAAATAATTTTTTGTAGTATTGGACGTACTTTTGATCACTTGGTTGGTGATAATAGAGGGCCTGACTCTTTTGGGCATATGGGCCTTCGCCCTCCACATAACATTCTAGCCCATTATTTTGGGCTTGCCGTTTTTTTATTTTATTTATTTTTATTACCCTCTGATGGGGTTATACAGATGTCTCTAAAAGATAAGAAAAGTAAATTACATCATTCAAAAAAATAAAGCAGTCGTTGGGGGACTACACTCCCCTTCATGATGAAAGTTTCATCTTTTTCATCATGTTGATGGGCATCTTCTGGTCCAATAGAAAGTGGAGACGGGGAACCTTGGTGGGCATCTTCTTATCTTTAATCATGTTATCCCATGGGATAGTGGAATAGTGGGGCATATTAAATATAAAAAAGTAAAGCAGTCGTTATGAACAAATCCATCTCTTATGACTCCACCAACAACAATCCCAGAGACTAAGAAAGTATGGTCAAAATATTGTTGAGTATACTAAACTTATCACATGGTTGCTGGGTAAAGCTCTGGATGACAGCTCAAAGCAACAGAGACTAAGAAAGTATGGTCAAAATATTCCTCTCGTACGTTCCTCCGCAATTGTGTCTGGCGCTTCATTAACTTCACCGCAAACTAGGAAGTTCATCGATGAGGTTCATGTCAGTGGGGACGATGCACTCATCGTATCCTGTATCATCATCATCGCCGATCTCGGTGGGAAGGCAGGTCCCATGACCACTGTAATGGACAAAGAGAACGTCGCCAGAGTCGGCAAATCGGATGAGGTTCTGACGGAGAGAGAGCTTTTTGAGGTTGGAGAGGGTTGCAATCCGAGAGTCCAAACCGGTGAGGCGGTTCATTATCAGGTCTAACTCTGTTAGACTCGACGATAACTCGACCGAGTCGAGATCGTGGAACCGGAAGCTAGTGAGATCGAGGGCCGTCGAGGACGGATCATCATCTGCCATCTGATCATCATGATCTACGGGATTCTGACCCGGTGGTGGCGCTTCAGTCTCTCTCTGCAAATCCTTCATCAATTTTCTCAAATGAGTCTGGCTGGCGACGCGGACACAGAAGAGAGTTTCCTCGCCGCAACCTTATTCTTTGCCCTTGATTTCTCTCTTTCTTCCCATGCTCTGATAAGTGACAGCCTTTTCTCTGTTGCAACTTTTGCTAGCACAGCATTGCGATTGATGGAACCCTCCTTACTTTTCTCTTTGGTAATAGGTTTCGAAAGCTTGTCAACAATAGTAGTAAGGGCTTTGGACTCATTAGGCTCGACCTTGCTTTCAAGAGGAGAAGGTTGTGGAATTTCAGATTTGTCCTTGTGGGACACAGGGTCTTTTGGATCTTCCAGAAGCGGTTTCTCTTTCTCCACCGGAGCTGTAGTCGGAGCGGGTGGAGGATCCGAGGGTGACTTGGATTCTAGCTTTTTGGATTCCTTTACCTCTGCCATGTTGATTGCTAAAGTTGGTTTGAAAGTGGAAAAAACCTTAAAGTTTTCAAAAGGAAGTTCACTGTAGTCTTTAGAATGAGAAGATTATAGAAGCAATGGAAAAAGAGAGAGAGAGAGAGATGAGACTGGTTTCTTGGGTTTTTCTGGGAAAGCTTTGGGTTGTTGGGTTTTTGCAGATTTTGCAGATTCACGGTGGGGGTGAAAAATGAAAGAGAACCGACACAACTTTTCGTATCGTTTCCCACAGACGGCGCCAAATGTTGATGCACAAAATCGGAGGGGTCTTGGAACAACGTAAATCCGACCGTGAAGCTGTAAGAAAGTAAAGAACACAAGATGTATCGTGGTTCACCCCAATGTTTGGGCTACGTCTACACTGATGTTGATATTAGCTCACTCTGAATGGTGAATATACAAGAAGGCTAGAGACAGTGTGCTCTTTAGCCTATTTTCTCTCTAGCCCATTTTCTGTGGCCTAAGCCTTGCCCTTAATCTTGGCCTCAAACTTGGCTCCCCAATGAGGAGAGTGATGAGTCCTTTTATAGAATAAGGGCTCCTCACTTATTACATATTTACCCTTCATTTATTAAATAATTACACTTGAGTCCCCCGAGTATTTATACGAGGTCTAAATACGGAGGCCCTAAGTATGGTACAAACAATATGCATTAGTGTAGTTATGCATAATGTTGCATGATGCTGCAGAGGCTCAGGTAAGCTACATGTGAGTACATTATGATGTTAGTGGTTGTGATGTATATTTCTAAAGAGAATGATGTTTTCAAAAACTTTGTTTTTGCCCACTCATATTTTTTGTTTTGCACCCCTCCAGGTTTTAGTTGCTGAAGATTCGTATCGACGAGAATTCTTGGTGAATCTTAGTATAAGTGGCTACCTCTAAGGGTATGATCTTTACCCACACTACTGTACTTATGTTCCGACGACACGTATGAAGAGGGTGCATACCCGCTCACTAGTGCACTCTGGTATTTAGGCACTTTTAGGTTTAAATTTACTTACATTTTCCATATAACTGCACTTTATGGCTTCGTCACCTTCCAGATGTCGGCCAACACATCTCGATTTGGAGTCATAGTGGTCATTCCGGGTCGGGGTGTGTCATTTTAATTATAAGCTTTGACTTGTAGTGAAAGTCTTTTAGGAGATGGAGTCCAACTGCCTATAGGATTTATTTAGGAGAAATTAGGTTCTCATCCTTCCTTTTGCTACTCCATTGATTAAAATCCTATTCCTTTTCAATTTTTGATCAAGATCATTGGGTATTAATAACATCATTAATTATTTTAATAATAAAATATTATTTTATTTCTAAATATATTCATTTAATGTTAAAAATGTTGCAATTAGTATATATATATTTATGACTAAATTTTTTTATCACATATATTTAGTTTAAGTTTGTACCCAAATTTGTACCAATTTTCTTTTCAATTTTAATTTGTACCCATATATTAATTTCTTTTTGTGCCCATATTTTTTTTAAAGTTTATTTGTATTTGTACCCATATATTTTTTTATTTGTACTTTTTATTTTGCTAAATGTACCCATGCTAATTATATGTACCTGTTCATGTAAAACTTTTTAATCTTAAAATGTACTCATTCTTAAATATACCAATTTGTTATATGTAAAATGTACCATTTTTTTTATATAAAATCTATTCAATTTTTTCTAATCCATTTTTAAACTTATATGGGTACATTCTTTTTTCTTTGATTTTAAATGTATCCATATCAAGCTTAATCGAAGAAATTTACTAATGTTATTAAGCCTAATATCCTTTTTTTTTTGTGATTTTGAAGAATGTACCCATGTTTTGATACAATAAAATTTTTGGCTAATTTTGATGAATGTACCCATGTTTACACACACACACACACACACACACACACACACACACACACAATAGTGTATTTATATTTTAATATTTTTAATCCCACAAATTATGGCTTTTTATTTAAAATCTCATTTATATAAACAACTAAAATTTCTAATTTTTAATTTAAAAAATATAGTAACGTACATAGAAATAAATTATCACATTAATTTCAGGGACCTTGATCAAAAATTAAAAATCAACAAGGTTTCAATCATTGAATATTCATAGTTAAAGACCGCATCCAAAGTCTCACATTTATTTATCTCTACCTTAAATAGAGGATTAAATAAATCTAGAGTGCAATTATTTTTCAAACAAGAAATAGAGAAAGCTAGAGAAAATTGTTTCCTCTTCCCCAATTTTGTTCTTTGCTTGCCCCTTGCCTTGTGAAGATTTGTTCGTCGTCTTTGTCATTATAGTTGCCACTACTCCACGGTAAGAATTTTGTTTTTTTTGCTGGCACGGTGCGGTTGAGAGCCGTGTGGTGGAGTATGAAAGGCTAAGCTGCGAGCTAGACTAGCGCAGGTTGAGTCATGCCTAGTAAGAAGAAGCAAGCCGCTGGGTTAGGCTTGCTGCTGTACTAGGTTGCACCTTAGCATCCGTGGGAAACCGGCCTGGTGCCGTGCCTCCCTTCCATTTTCTTCTTCGAACAATTTTCAATATTTCTCGGTCTTTTTTTGCAAAAATTGTATTTTTTCAAAATGTCTTCTTCCACGCGTAAGAGTGATGAATATCCTCGACCTAAGTATCACCAAGGTGGGTTTCTCTAGAAGAGTTCAATACTTCAAAGCTACTTATACCAAGATTGGCTCTGATGAGTTGTTCCGGGACTTTCTTAAGGAGTTTATGCATACAATCTCATATCACGTGAAGAATCTAAGTAGTCATGAAACATGTACTAAGGCTGCTCATGTCTGGAAGTAGGGATGGGCAATGGTTATGGCGGGCGGGTAACCGCGGTTAATTTACCCATAACCGTTTATGCTCATACCCGCATAACCGTTTACCCGTTGGGTAATTGTCTAAACGGTTATACCCATACCCATAACCGTTTATAAACGGTTAACCATACCCATAACCGCATACCCATTTAACCGTAACCTTTTAATACCCGTTTACCCATTTATCCTTTTTAACCTGTTTATCTTTTTTTTTTTTACCATTACCCATTTTTCACCCATCTACATGTTTTTTAACAACTTGAAAATTAAAAAAATATTGTCATAATTTTGTTTGACAATTAAACACCGTTATAGGTACATTCATCATACATTTCCATATTTTAATTTTTTAAGTCCTTGTACCATTCCAATAATTGAAATAATAATTTACGGACGATATTTTTAATTGTTACCAATGAAGATAAATATAATATTTGCTAAGTATTATTGGGTTACAAAAATTGTTTAGAAGACATTTCTGTCAAAGCATTTCTTTCAATTTCACGGTTACCCGCAAGGAATTTAAATTAGTTTGACCAATTCCTTGATGATGAGAATCATCATTCCTATAGTAGTGTTATTGAGAGAATGACCGATGAATTCCTTGCTAATTTATTGGGTGCTAAGTATTATTGGATCGAGAACATGGTTTGTATTAGTTTTACATATATAAAATAAATAAGTAAACGGTTACCCGTTTATAACCGTGGTTAATACCCATAACCGCCCATTTAAATTTCGTGGGTAAACGGTTATACCCATAACCGTTTATTTATCTAAACGGTTACCTATAACCGTAACCGTTTAATTTAAATGGGCGGGTAACCGCAGTTACCCATAATCAATGGGTATTTGCCCATCCCTATTTGGAAGAGATCTATCAAGTTTCATCCATACTACTTCATGTGGTGATTCACCTTCTCCATGTCACACTTCTATAAAATCCTTCAGAATACTCAACCAGAAATAGCCGTGCCGCCGAAGCAGCCAACGAATATTTCGTCCAGATTGGTGAGCTCCACAAATTCCTTTGTGTACTTCTGCCATTGCTTGAGCAACTTCCTGCGGGCCGAGGCACAACAACAGTAACCCATCCTCACCTTTTCGATACAACTTCTGGTATAATACGTAGTTTGTGGCATGGACCATTGTCCGTTGGTCATGTTTTTTTGTTAGGGTTATCAATATATCGCATAATCGTTCTAACAATGAAGGTAAGGACATGACCCGTGTACGGATCACGCAATCACGTTGGAGAACTTGCTGATTAATCAAGGCCGAATGTGCTTGTAGTGATACAGGTACTTCTCGGCCTAATTTCCCCCCCCAGGAGTTGTGCTCTGGAAGCTATTTGAGCTAACTCGTCGGCGTCAGTGTTATGAACTCGTGAAAGGTGTTTGAAAGTAACGTCGTCGAAAGATTCGGCCAAATAGCTAGCAACCATATGGTAGGGCGTCAGAGTACAACTCATGCAACGAAAAGTTTCGTTGAGTTGATTAATTACAAGTTCGGAGTCACTAAAAACAAGGACACGAGTCACCCGCAAATCATGTAGGACACCGAGGTCGATGACAAGGGCTTCGTATTTGGCCTGATTATTTATACAATCAAAGTTGAGCTTGAGAGAAAAATACCAGCAGCTATGAGTTGGGGATTGAATAACAATCCCAACGCCAACCGATACTGAAGTGCTAGAACCATCAAAGTACATTGTCCAGTAATTATCACGTGTTTCTACTATATCGATTTCAATGTCACTGCCCCCGAACTCATACGGGAAAGGTTGTTGGGCCAAGAAATCGGCCAATGCTTGGCCTTTGACAGCTTTCTGGGGCACATATTGCAAGATGAACTCAGATAGGGCCATCGTCCAATTGCCGATTCGACCCTTTACAATTAGCCGAGTGAGCATGTAACAAATTACATCGGTTTGAGCAATGACCTGAGTGACTGACAAGAGCATGTAATGTCGGAGTTTTGATGTAGCAAAAAATAAGGTGATACAAAGCTTCTCGACGGTAGAGTAGTTAATCTCTGGTGGGTTGAGGTTTCGGCTAAGATAAAAAATGGCATGTTCGCGCCCGGCATCATTGTCCTATGCAAGAAGGCATCCGATGGATTCTTCGACCGTCGAGATATATAGCTTAAGAGGTCTGCC